ACCTCAGTAGTCCTGAGATTAAATGAAGAATGGCTATTTGACAGAATTCTGAGTTACATCATTGTTTTCCAAACTGAGTGTTTTACAAAGGAAAAAAAAAGATATTTTTGCTGGTCAAAAATGCTATACTTGATATCAGAATATGGGGTGCCAATTATGATATCACCGTGTGCTTATTAATACATTCCCAATATTAATAAGCCTGTGGGTTCTTGCCTAATATTCAGAGAAGAATTCTGAATACCGGCATAAATGAGCGAGGCAGCATGATAAGTTTTAAGCTTTTTATTCAGTGAGAGAAACGCATAGGTGAGTGAGGGCCCTGAGAGAGAAGTCTGGATTCAGACGGAGTACCAGGAGCCAGCCACGTGGAGGAGCTGCAGGCCAGAAAGCATGGGGTGGGCCCACCACGGCTCAATCTCAGGCCTTTTATCCACTTCCAAAGAGGCATGGTTAAATAACCTGACACACAGGTGTGGGCAGGCGGGGCATGAGGTCACACAGGGACGTGGTGAAAGAGTGGTCTTCCAGCTCACAAACCTAATCAATTTTATCCTGTATGCCTGCTTATCATACTTATCCTTGTTATTAAAATCATCACAGTGGTATTTTGACTAAGAATAAATCAGATAAAGTTATAATATGTACTGCGTTCTGTGGATTAAGCATGAAGAACCGGCCTTTCCAGTTTTCTTTGACAAGAAAATGATTTAAAATAACTATCTTTTCCAATGTATCAGCTTCTTAAGTCATCTAGGACAGTTTCTAAGTATAAATGGGATAAATGTAAATGAGATAAATGTTTCTAAAGATAAATGTAGGCCGGCGCCACGGCTCAATAGGCTAATCCTCCGCCTAGCGGCGCCAGCACACCAGATTCTAGTCTGGTTGGGGCGCCGGATTCTGTCCCGGTTGCCCCTCTTCCAGGACAGCTCTCTGCTATGGCCCGGGAGTGCAGTGGAGGATGGCCCAAGTCCTTGGGCCCTGCACCTGCATGGGAGACCAGGAAAAGCACCTGGCTCCTGCCATAGGATCAGCGGGATGCACCGGCCACAGCGCACCAGCCGCGGCAGCCATTGGAAGGTGAACCAACGGCAAAAGGAAGACCTTTCTCTCTGTCTCTCTCTCTCTCTCACTGTCCACTCTGCCTGTCAAAAAAAATAAAAAATAAAAAAATAAATGTAAGTCTTCTTAACATCTCAAATTCTATTAAAAAGACTATTTGGGTCTGCTAACAAATATATTTTTCTAACTTGTTATATTTTTATAAGTAGCATTTCAAGATTGCTTTAAAGTGTCAAAATGCTATATGCCCTTTTATTTAAAATGTTTTTCTCTTAATTTAGAGATTATTTAAAGGATTATTTCAAGATACAAATTAGAAAACTTGTGGTAGGAGAGAGAATAAATTATATATATATATATATATGTAAGCTATATAAGCTATATAGGCATTAGAAGGTGTCTTGATAAGTGAGGCTATGGGATGGCACAGATGTGTTTTGACTATGGAAAAAACAATATTTGTCCTAAACTGAAATACCTGGCGTTCTACAAGACAGAGAAACCATACAGGACAAGTAGCCGAGGAAATGCGGGAATGTTACGAAAGATAAGGTATGGAAGGTAAAGCTTGTGTGAGATAATCTTGGCTGAGGTCTTTTTAAAGCTACGCATGTGACGTTCTAGGAAGCGGGCATTGGTATTGTCAGCAGAGACGGCTGGACTACGAGTTCTTGCTTTTGCACAAGCAAGAATTCGGATGAGAGACTTAGTGGTAAGCAAGGAAGTAGGGCAGAACAGTGAGAATACACCAGACAGGCAGGCAGGCTCTCAGCAAGGAACGGAGAGCAGAGTGCCGTCTGCATGCACACTGGGGCTTCCAAGGAATGGGGTCTAACTCTTCCCACCTCAGCCTCTGCTCCCGGACAAAGGGTTTGCTGGGTGTGAAATAGGTAAAACTCCTTTCAAGATGTTGTCAGACCGGGCAGTGCCGGGTCCAGCTCCAGCAGGTCCAGGGGTTCCCAAGATGTGGGAAGAAATGAGAGACACAGCAAAGCTGATGGCATGGCTCTGGCTCTCAAACACCACATAATGGTCCTTTCTTCTTACAATGACAGACTGTTGTCCATTATTATCTAGTTATAATTTCTTTGACTTCTAAGAGCATCTTCAGAGCATGGGTTACAATGATGGACAGGTGTGAGATAACGAGCTGCCCACACAAGCCAAGGCCTGGAGTGCTGCCGAGCTATGCAGAAATTGGCTACACAAGCTAGAATAGTCCCTTCCTAATCTAGTCTTTACTAGAAGCCCCAGTGTTCAAAGCAGGCCCTTTTTTTAAAATGTCTCCCCTCTTCTGCAGTTCTTTCTGTAACTCTTTCATTTCTTTATTGTACTTATCTAAAGGTTCACTTAGATCTATTCCACAGTTTTGACAACCTAACCATTGTTGCATTTGTAGCACAGATTGAATTAAAGCTTTAATAACAACTATCTTTATTCTAGTGGGAAGTATATACCAGGGAGCCTGTTGCCTTTTAATTCTTTTCCACCAACAGCTCAGCCTTGCGTAAAGCAGCAACGTTTTCTCCTACACTAGCATTCTGCTTGATTAAAACTCTACAAAGCAATGGACATTTGGGGGATTTTGGAACTAAGCGCTCTTCCCTAAAATTAGAATACAGCAATCATTGGCAGGATCACCAGGAAGCTCCGGCTTTCTTATGCAGAGTGTAATTCCCAACAAACCTAAAACCACCAACTGTTTCTCACGCCTTGCTGAGACAGACCTTCTGATGTCACTGATATCGGAATTTGACCCCCTAAAATGGAATATGGCCCCCTTGAAGTTCCCCAAAAGTCCCATTTGGGGTGCCATATGATATCGGAATTTGGGGTGCCATGCGATAACACCATATGCTTATTAATAACTTTCTCATATTAATAAACCTGCGTGGGTTCTTGCCTAATAATCAGAGAAGAATTCTGAATACCGGCATAAATGAACGAGGCAGCATAGTACATTTTAAGCTTTTATTTAGTGTGAAAGATGCATAGGAAAGTGAGAACTTTATCTATAGGAGAGAGGTAGATCTGGGTTCATACTGAGTACCAGGAACCAGCCACATGAAAGAGCATCTAGGCCAGGAAGCCCGGGGTGGGTAGCTTAAAGGACACGAACCCTGAAGGCACAGGGCTGCAGCTAGCCCTGTACTGGCAAGAGACCAGGGAAAGGAAGGGAAAAAAGGACCGGACACATCCTGTCCCAGGCTTTTAACCCACTTCCAAAGGGGAGCCAGAATTCCATCCGAGTCTCCCATGTGGGTGGCAGGGACCCAAGTGCTTAAGCCACCGTCTGCTGACTCCCAGGTCACATCTGCAGGAAGCTGAACTGGAAACAGAGCAAACAAGACTCAGCCGGGTTCTCAGATACGGGATGCAGCCTCCCTGCACTGTGCCATGAACCCTCTGATGCCTCCCCTTGACTGCAATTGTGTCGTCCTTATTCCACTCCGGCTGAGTGCAGGCTGGGGTCCTGGGTGCAGAGGCAGCAGAGCAAATGCAGGCAGAAGGGCCGAGCACCCGAGCTCCGCAGCACAGCCTTCCTTCCGGGCCGAGCAGCTCCGGGGCTTCCATCTCCTCTTGGAGGGCCGCCCACAACCCTCTTCTTGCATCTCCCCCGGAATTTCTGGCCAGGTGGGCACGGTTATGTTCGCACACAGCTCAGATTCATTCAAGCTGGATTCTCTGCAAAAGCAGGGAAAATCCTTTTCCTAACGTCAGAAAGTCTTCAGGAAACTGGGCAAGCCACTCCCAGAAGGCAAAGCCAAGTTCCCGGGCACTGTCCCTGTTTCTTCCCTGTGTCCCTTTTCCTGTGAAGGCGGCTTTCAACCACTGCAAATCCCTGGCTGGTCTCCGAAGCCCAGTCTTGACCTGACCCCCCGACCCCGCACTGGGGATCCTTCCGGTACCTCTTCAAGACCAAGCCCTCGTCCCGTCCATTCCACAGCAGTCGCAGTGAATGAGGATGGACCACCTCACTACAGAATTCAGAATTCCTCCTTCTGGCAACTCTTGTTATTTCTTCCTTTAGAAAACAGGCAACAACAAGGACAACAAACCCACAAACTCCATCATATGCAAACACCACCTGGGGGCATGGCCTGAGAAGGAGCAGCTTCAGCAGACCTGTCTGGAAGGTTCTTGGGGGCCAGCTGCAACCTCACGTCCACTCAAGGCCACACACGGCAACTGCGCTTGAGCAGCACGAGGAAGCCAGCTCCTGGGGGGGGGGGGGGGGCATCTTCCAGCCTCCTGCACGTTTGCTTCCTGCCTCCCTCCTGAAACTAGCACTAGCCTACTGCTCTTTTGCTTCCCTCCCACCCTCATAATCACATTATCTTTTAAGGCACGTGGTCTTTTCTTAAGCTAGCCTGTCTAGGAGAAGAGAGCAGAAATACCCTAAATAGTCTCTTCAGGGCCCAGGCATGGCCACAAAACTATTTCGGGGCTCCTTCTAGGCGGGGCCACCTGGTCAGGGCGTGGGGACACGTGGTGGGTCCTAAAGCATCTTCCCAGGGCTGCTCGGTGTTGTTTGTTTCCTGATTACCAAAGCACCATACGTGCCTCCTGCCAAGGCCTTCTGGGGGCGCTCCTCATGGAGTCACCTCTGCCAGCACTTGACGCCTTCTATGGCCAGAACAACTCAACTCCATCCCCCCAGCGTCATTGGCCCCTAAACAGAAACAACCCAGGCACTTTCCCACTGCCTAAAAGCAGATCCAGAGCGGCCCTGCCCTTCCTCCACCTCTTTAATCAGGGCTACCAGTGACCAGAGGGAGTGTGCAGAAGCCCAGCCCTGTTGGGGCATTGGGAATCACTCATTCCAAATTCTCCAATACTGGCTTAGGTATAACACGCTGAGCAGACTATTTTTTTTTTTTTTTTTGAGAAGTTTGCTTTTATTCTTAATGAGTTCTTTGTTTTATGAAGACGGGAAGGGGTGGGGGGCACATCTGAAGAAGAGGCTGCACCCGCAGCCTCGGGAACCCCATAACCCTAAGGGGGTGCCTGGGTGCAGTCCCTGCCACTCCCCCTGGATCCCGCTCCCTGCTGGTGAGAGCTCCAGTACCAGAGCCCCTGTGACCCTCCGGGGAGACCCACATGCAGTTCTTGGTCCTGGATTCCTGGCCCAGCCCTGGCTGCTGCAGGCGTCTGGGGAGTGAGACAATGAATGCAAGGTCTCTGTTTCTCTGCGCGTACAATAAAAATAAACAATTCAAAAAAAAAAAAAAAAAAGCATTAAGAAAGCGGAGAGGAAGTGCGAGGCGAGGGCTGGCTGCGCCAGGCAGCGGAGCCCCGGGCTCTGAGTCACCACCTGTGAGCACTTCCTACAAGCCCCATGTTTGCAGCGGCACCGCACACCCGCAGGCTTTTCTGTGCCCGTGCCTGGTGTGGAGAAGGCAACTCCAGGGTTCGGGTCGTCCGCGGCGCTGGCTGGAGTCCGCGGCAAGTTCCTTCCTTGCTTCCAGGTTCCGCTCCAGCTGCGGGACGGCACCTCGCGGCGCGGGCAGCAGGTGAGCTGGGCTCTGGCGCCGCCGCACCTCCCCAGGGCGCTGGCGAGGAGAGTGGGGCGTGAGCGCCCTGACCAGAGAAATCCGGGCAAAATGCGTCCTCGGGGCGCGAGGTGAAGCCAGGGCAATGGCAGCGGAAACCGCGGGGCGTCCTGCAGCTGCAGTGCACAGGGATGGAGATCGAGATCGCAGGCAGGAGCCTCCTACATAGGGACCAGCTGTGGCTGCCTCATGTCTGTCTCATATTCACCTGCCTCGTGTGCAGGTGCTGTGGGCCTGCGATTGAATCTTTACTCCCAGTGCTTGCCTCACAGAGCTAAGAGTTTAAAGCAGAGGTTAAAAAACAAAACAAAAAAACCACCATGCTCACGTGCGAGCAATATATTTAATTAACAGAGAATATACACTCACACGTGCCTGTGGACCACCCCACACAGAGATACCTGTCACGCGTGGGCCCCAGTTACCTGTGGGGGGAGGGGAAGCCGGAGAGGGAGGGATTCACATGCTCCATCAGCCTCCTGTGAGATAGAGGGAGGCGCCCTAACCGAATGCCTAAATACAGTGAAATTGGGCTTGTGTGCGGCTCTCTGGGGCTTCAAGGTGCCTCCAGGTGGAGTTTAATTTCCACATGGCCATCATGGTGTCTCCTGCTTCCTGGTCCTGGATGAGACACAAGGGTGTGGTGGGAAAGTGGGCATCCTGGGCTGACAGGTGAGGGGCGCAGAGACACAGTGTGGGGCAGGCAGAAACTCCAGCTCACCTGTCCCTGCCTGAGCTTCCTGCCGACTCCCCCCATTCCCAAGGCGGACAGAGACGCCATGCAAGCGAATGGAGCCCAGAGTTGGCCGCCATCCTACTTTGCCTACCCCAGATGAGAACACCCGACTACCGGGTGCAACCCTGCCGTGGTGGCTTCAGGGGGAGTCCCTGCTGCCTGTGTAAGACGCGGCAGTGGGTCCTATCTTGCCTGTGGCTTCTGGTGGCCTCTAGGGATAGTAGTGGAGTCCTGTGGTTTGGGGCCTACTGTCCCTTCTCTCTTACCCAGCAGTCTTGTGGCTTACGTGGGCCAGAGGGTCAGTCCTGGAACTGCAGGTGTGAGCTGAGGGCAGGAGGTGCGGTCTCAGTGCTGGTATCTCAGAGAGTGGGCCACCTGCCTCTGCAGTCGCTGAGTTCCCTCCGGCCCTGCTCTGCCAGCTGAGAATCCTGTTCATCTGTGGCTGCCGGGCCTTTCTCATGACCTAGGGAGTGAGGACTCCGGCTCATGACGGCAGCCCTGAGGCTGGTGGTCACCGAGAGCCCATGACCAGAAGCCTCCTCTCTCCCAGGGCCCAGTCTCAAACCAGGAGTCACACTCAAATGGTGTGCATGTCCCTGCTGCGAGTGTCACGGGACACTGAGAGCCCATGTCCTGATTCTCCATTAGGAATAGCCCTGGGGGCTGGTGCTGTGGTGCAGTGCATTGAGCCGCCATCTGCAGTGCCAGCATCCATATGGGCGCTAGTTCAAGTCCTGGCTGCTCCACTTCTGATCCAACTCCCTGCTAATGTGCCTGGGAGAGCAGTGGAGGATGGCCCAAGTACTTGGGTCCCTGCCCCATCTGCGGCCATTTGGGGAATGAGCCAGTGAGCCAGTGGTTGGAAGATCTTTCCCTTTCCCTCTCTCTGTAACTCTGCCTTTAAAAAAAGGAATCACCATGAAATCCACACAGGATCTTTTGCCACCACAAATGCCTGCTGTTTTGAGTGGTCCTGAGTCAGGGCCACAGTAGCCAATGCAGCCTCACTCACTCATTCATGTACTCTCTCTGACTGCTTCTGTGCTACAAAACCAGAGGTGAGTGGATGTCAGTAGGACAACAAGGCTTGCAAAGTCTAAGAAATTTACAGAAACTTCTAGGGACCAGGGTGGGATCAAACATGAGAGAAGATAGAACACTAGTGTAGTGTTAGAGGTATTGGGTTTTTAAATGTACTATCCAGGTTATGGGGGAGGCAGTGCCCAACACTGCACGTGGCCTGCCTAGCAGGGCAGCCCTGATGCCCTGATGCTGCAAGTGGCTCACTTAAAGACTATTCATTCCTTTTTTTTTTTTAAGATTTTATTTATATATTCAAAAGTCAGAGAGTTACACAGAGAGAAGTGAGGCAGAGAGAGAAAGGTCTTCTATCCACTGGTTCACTCTCCAATTGGCCGCAAAGGCTGGAGTTGAGCCAATCCGAAGCCAGGAGCCAGGAGCTTCTTCCGGGTCTCCCACAGGGGTGCAGGGGCCCAAGGACTTGGGCCATATTCTACTGCTTTTCCAGGCCATAGCAGAGAGCTGGATCAGAAGAGGAGCAACCAGGACTAGAACTGGCGCCCATATGGGATGCCGGTGCTTCAGGCCAGGGCGTTAACCCACTGCACCACAGCGCCGGCCCTAAGACTGTTCATTCCTAATACAACTGCATGGAATGTGAACTGGCCATTGTGTGGGGTACTGACCCAGAAAAACTCCTGTGAGTAGAACCTGGACCAGGTGTCCACTCACTACCTGGCCACACTTGTACCACAAAATTACAAGGCAGCCACAAAACTGCTTCAGATACTTGGGTGTTATTAATCAATATACTATGCATTATATGAATGTCTAGGTGTTGTATTTTCTTTTAAATTTTTATTTATTTATTTTCATTTACTTGAAAAACACAGAAAGAGAGAGGGAAAGAGAGAGATCTTCCATTCGCTGGTTCACTCCCCACAACAGCCAGGGCTGAGCCAGGCCAAAGCAAGGAGCCTAGAATTCGGTTTGGTCTCCCTTGTGGGAGCCAAGACTCAACTACTTGAGCCATCACCTGCTGCCTCCCCAGGTGCACAATAGCAGGAAGCCAGAATGCAAAGCTGAGCCAGAATTCAGCCCCAGGCCCTCCAATGTGGGGTGTGGGCGCTCCAAGCCACAGCTTAACCACTACTTCAAACACCCACTTTCCTGGGGTATTTTCTACTTTGCCACTGGTTAGCCAAGCAAATGGCCGTCCACCCCCTGAGAAAGGCCACCAGTGTCACTGCCCTTGCCGTGGGGTTGAAGGGCCCTTCCTGGAGGGAACATGACCTCTCCCCTCAAGTTGTGGGGTCTGGGTCAGAGCCATGGCTGAAGTCTGGAAACTGGACACAAGGATTTCAGAATTCTTGCTGGGGCGGCTGCATTTCAGCCTCCTGAGTGCTGGCCCTTGTGTTTTGTGGGTTTTTTTGTAATGATTTAGTCAGGCAGTTCCAGGTTGGCTGCACATCTGGTTTGCTGCTAGGTCCCCACAGCATTGTAATCACAGCACCTTCCTTAGTTCCGGCAGCTCGGCACGTGCACTTGGGATCTCTCGAGTCAGGATTCTTCACCCCCATTACCACTGGGAGCCCACTTTGGGGACACCTTCTGCTATGGCCAGTCCCAGGCGTGAGCAGGAGGCATGGCTGTGGCTCTGATGATGCGGGCGCTTTTCTCTGTTTGCTTGGTGAACCTGTGTCCCGTGGAGCAGAGGCCTGGACATTTCCTTGCATTTTTGTTTTATTTCCACTCTGGCACGTGTGCTTCTCTCAACATTTTGTTCCCTCCCTGAACAACCTACCATGGAGGTTCTGAGTTGTCCAGTGCATGTAGTATGGGCCATCGCCTCCTGAGCTTCCAAGAGTTGTACTAGTACCACATCAGCATCAGTGTCCAAGGGACTGAACTGTATCCTGCACCTGGAACTCTCCCTCATCCAACTCTGATTGCACCCTGACCCTGTCCCACGATGATCCAGCACCCTCCAGGGCAACCCCACACACTCCCAGCTTCCCGCAATCTGTGTGGGCTGCATCTGCAGACCCTCTGCCATCCAGGCCTGGCACCTCCCCAACAGGGCCATGGGCTAGGGGGTAGGAAGAGTGATGGTGGAGCCATATCTGAAGAGTGAGGTTTCTTTGTGGGCAGAGGCAAAAGGAGGAGCATTTGATTGATGAAGAGATGAGCCCAGGGAACTGTCAGTTTTTTGACCCCTGCCTTTTAGTAGGATTTTCTGCTGTCACAGAGCTGGTGACAGCTCTTTGACCCGGACGCCAGAAAGTGGACAGAGGTTCATCCTGGGGCCAGCTGGTTGAAGACGACCTGGGAGAATGACAGGCAGCTGACTGAGTTCTTGCGGAAGGTGTCCGTGGGAGACTGCACAAGGTGGCTGGGGAACTTCTTGTTGCCCAGGGAGGAGATGCTGGAGTCTACAGGTAACTAGGGCCAGGGGTGGCGGGAAGGGGTTTTCCCTGGAGATGAGGTGAAGCCACCCCAGTGTGTGCGTGCACGGTGTGGGTGCTCTGTGCATGTGAGCGTGCTGTACCTGGGTGTGTGTGCATGTAAGTATTGGAATGTGTACATAGATGCATGGGCTGTGCCTGTGTGTGCATGCAAGTGTGTGGGCGTGTGCATGTGGGTGTGATAGTGTTGGTGCGATGGTGTGGAATCTGGCAGATGTACATGTGGGAATGTGGATGTGTGTGCCTGTGTGTGCATGTGAGAGTGTAGACATGAATGCATGTGTGTGTGTGTTGTACCTATGTGTGCATGTCTGAGTGTGTGTCTGAGAATGTGATCCAGTGTGGTGTGTCCTCCCTACAACAACAGCAGCATCTGGCGCTGTGCCTTCCCTCACGCCTCTCCTCCTCCTCCTGCTCATCTCTTCCTCACGGCTTGGATTTCAGTGCCCTCACCCCGCTCTGCTGGCCTCCACCCCGTGGCTGTCACTGTTCTAGAGCTGCTCGTTCGCCGTCCTCTCTTCCTAGAATCCCGGTTCTCCCGATTCTTCTGCTCTCTCTCTCTCTCTCCCTTGGTTCCTTCAGAACCATCTCCAATGCCAGCTCCTGCCTCCCTTCCTGGTGCCACCCCAGGACGGTCTGCATGGTCATCCCAGCTTCGTCTGGCAGATCTTTCCCATCCTCCCTCCCTTCTATCCTAGGACCTGGTTCTAGTCCTGGCTGCTCCTCTTCAGGTCCAGCACTCTGCTGTGGCCTGGGATAACAGTAGAAGATGGACCAGGTGCTTGAGCCCTCCCACATGGGAGACCGGGAGGAGGCACCTATCTTCTGGCTTCGGATTGGTGCAGCTCCAGCTATGGTGGCCATTTGGGGAGAAACCAGCAGAGGGAAGACCTTTCTCTCTATCTGTCTCTCTCACTGTCTGTAACTCTACTGATCAAATAAATAAATACAATATTTAAAAAAATGAACAAGCAAGGTCTGTTGTAAGCAAAGTCCACTCTCAGGGCAGGAGAGTGGGCGGGCAGGGGGAACAGCATCTGTGCTGAGGACCTGAGGAAGATTCCTTCTTTATTGCAATTGATGGGGTGTGTGTGTGTGTGTGTGTGTGTGTGGAGAATTCCTGAGACGGGAGGAGGACTCTAGGAGTAGCTGGGGCTGTCCTGGAGCAGGGCATCACCTGTCTTTTCTCTAACCAGGGCCTCTCCCATCTGTGATGCTTTAATCACAACCACAGTGACACACGGCTGACATGACGCTGCCTACCTGGGACATTCACCACTGGGTGCTTTTGGAGTTTCTGTACCATTTTGTTTTTATGTATTGATTCTGTATTTTAACCTCTCATGAGCCATTAGCCCAAGTTCAGGAACATTGGTGCTATGACTTGGATCACATCTCTTCACTAGCTGTGCCTTGTCATTCCCTGCTCTACCAATGGCCCAGCGACCCAATGCAGCACACTCCACTGTGGGAGATCCCGTGAGACTGCCTGCCTAGCCCATGCAGTTATCTGAGTGCTGGCAGGCCCAGGAGCCCCAGGCACGTTTCCCCAGCCCTGCCTCTGCCAATCAGGTAAACAGCTCCTGGGTGTGGCCCAGGCCCACCTGGAAAGCTAGGAGCCTATGTGACCTTCAAGCTGATTGAGAAGCATAGTGGCACCAATACCACCTTCAGCTATAGAATTAGTGCTGCCATGAATCAGTTAGGCGCCCTCTGCCTGCCCTTTACAAGGTGTGCTTGGTGCTAATAAAGCTGTCGTGTGCCCTGAAACTTGTCTCCGTTGCATCTTGTGGAAGAGTGTTGCTGCCCCACCCCAGTGCACAGGACTCCTGGGATGAGCCCACGACTGGCCTCCAACGTGGGGTCTGAACACGTATGGTGACCTAGGTTCAGGCTCGCAATGCCTCTCTGCTAGGTGAAGAGGGTACCTCGTTGTTTTAGGGACCACGGACACAGTCATGGGCTCCCCGTGTGGACATGTGAGAAATGGCTGGCCATGTTTCTAACTTATCTTTCCACCTCCCACCCTGTCCCTTATCTTCGTACTCTGCCTGAGCCACAGCCCAGGGGTAGAGCTCCCATGGGGAAAGTGAGACAGCCCTGGGAGCCTGGTCCCAGCATGAGACCTGATCAGAGAGTGAGGGCTACTCCAGCCCTGCAGGCCGGGCCTTCCAGCTGCTCCAGCGAGGCGCCCTGGAGGATGCATGTATGGGGGTAGAGGTGGGGTCTATGGCAGTCAAGGTGGAATCCAAACCCCAGACCCCTCTATGGTTGCTGCTGGCATAGTGAGGGCACAGAGAGTCTGGATCCCAAGCATCAAAATGTACAACTTGATAGAAGATTTGTTTCCTAAATACTGTGTGCTTTATTTATGTACTAGTGTCCCTGAGCTGGCGCTCCATGCCATAGAGACAGCAGTGGAGAACAGCGGGTGCTCCATGGACACCTCTCACCCATCAAGAGGGAAAGGGGAGACTGAGCTGTGCCCCACCCCGGAGTGGGGTTTTAACAAGGCCAGGAACCCAGGATGCCTGCCTGCCTGCCTGCCTGCAGCCCGCCCACCTGTTCTTCCTCTGTCTGTCCTCCTTCCCTCCTTCTCCTTCTCCCCACCCTCCTCTGCCTTTCCTTCTGTAGGTAGAGCAAGACACACACACACACACAGAGAGACAGAGAGAGAGAGAGAGAGAGAGAGAGAGGAGAGAGAGAGAGAGAGGGAGGGTGGGAGGAAGGCAGAGAGGGAGAGAGAGAGCGCTCTCACCTGCAGTGTTCAGGCTTGTAGGTACTGGACTCACTCACTCCTGGCAACCTGCTTCCTGTGTGGCCTCAGTGCCCTTTTAACACCAGGGCCCTTTTAGCATTCAGTGCTCAGGGCGGGACAGGGCAGGCCTAATTGTCCCTCAAAAAGATTCGGGGGCGGGGGCGAGCTCACTGGCTGTCCCTTCGATTACTGAAAAAAAAAAAAAAAAAGAGACACCAGAAATCTCACGCACATTTAACTAAAGCAGCAAACTTCAACGGGGAGAAAACATTTATAACAATAGCGCTAGTTTTCCTTGGGGAAGACGGTATCGGCGCAACTGCAGACGAAGCCTTAGTGGCAGCCGCAAAGATTAATCTATAACTTAGCTGTCTTGAAGCCACTCTCACCCCATCCTCCCTTCGACCAATAAAACCACTTGACATCACAATTCCTGTACTAGAATACCCAGTGAGCTCCGAACTGACTCACTCACACAGCCATGGAGCTGCTGGACGGGCACTGCTTCCCTTCCCTGCTGCTTCTGCTCCTGTGTCTGCTGGCAGCCGGGCTCGGGGCACCGCTGGCCGGTGAGTGCAGGGCACAGGGCAGGGAGAGAGGGTGGGGACCTCCTCGCAGGCCTGCGCTTCCCAGTGGAGGCTTCTCCCAGAAGTCACAGGAGGAGGATGGGAGGGGGCGGTGGAAAATGCTGGTGCCCCAACCCTGGGCACGGATCCAGTGGTCACGTGGAGGAGAGCGCACCCTGCACGGAGGCGACCTCGGCTTTCCCCTGACCCCTCCTGCAACCAAAAACTCCCCTTCCAACCCATCAGCATCCACTTGCTGCTACACAGCTCACAGCCTCATCAGGCCACTTCACTCCTGAGTTGATGAGTCCTGTGAGCCCCGGGGCCATCTCAGCACGGGACCAGGAACACAGGGATTGCCTGCCAGTCTGCCTTTCTCATCCGGCCACCTCCCTCCTGAGTCGCCTAGTCACTGGAAGCCTGTAGAAAGTCTTGGCACAGGACCAGGATCCCCGGGCTTCGGGTCTAATCTGTCCCTCGCTCATTGGGCCGGTCCTGACTTCTCCCCTACCTGAAGGCGTCTATCCCCTACCTGAGGAAACCCCAGGCAGGCACACCTGGACCTCAGCCCAGGACCTGAATTCGAAGGGATGGGGCCACCATTCCCCCACCACCACCCTGGGTTCAGGCACCTTCTCCTGACTTCCTCCTGGCTGCTGGGAGGAATCGCTATAGGTGATGAGCCTTGTTTTGTACAGAACTGGCCAACTTGTGTGCAAAGGACGACTGTACTGGCTCTGAGTCATCTGTCTCCCCAGCTGCTCAACTCTTTCTGGGGGTGGCAGTGACACCACCAGCCAGGGACAACTTGCAAAGGAACTAGGGCCCAGATCTGAGCAGGGTCCCATTTGCCCACCCCAGGTTCGCGGCATCCTCAATGCCCTGGCTGCTGGAGCCCCAGCCCACAGGGTGTCCTTCTCGAGTGGAGTCTCGGGTGTGTGTGTGAGAGTCAGCAGTGGATTCTGTCCTGCTGCGGCTTCTGGTGGCTGCAGGGAGAGGAGTGGGGTCCTGTGGTTGCAGCATTACTGCTACTCCTGTACTGTCCAGCGGGGTCCTGGGTCCACGTGGGGACACTCCCTGAGCTGCAGGTGTGAGCTCACCTTGAGGTGAGTGGTGCTGCCTCGTGCTGGCATCAGTGGACAGGCTCCCTGCTCCTGCACCCCACCAGGAGTTCCTCAGAGGCAAGGGGCACGGGTGGCTCCAGCTCAGGAAACTGAAGATCTGGGCTTGAGTTCTGTGATTTACCCAGGACCAGCATCCACGGGATGCGCGTGGAGATCTGCGGTTCCTGTGATGGGTTTTGGAGTCCTCGTGTGCTCATTGCCCGAGTTACCCAGGCTTTTCTACAACCAGAGAACTACAGTAAAAGCTGTTGCTGTCTCTCACTGTAAACCTGTGACTGCCTTGACCTTTCCTAAGAAAGAGTTTCCTCTCCTCTCACTGGGTCCCGCTCAGTGCTGCTGTTTTCAGTCCTCGTCTGGACAGGAGATTTGGCCTCAGGTGCGGGTAGGGGAGGCGGTCATCATCCAGCCACTGTGCTAACTGCTTCTGCCAGCTGCTTCCCGGTGTGTGGTGTCAGCCCTGGTTGGGTCCACATAGGTGCATGTGTGCATGCACTCAGGTGACAGGTGCACTCCTGTATGTCCACCTGTCTCTTCACACTCTTCCCTGTAGGACGCCCCAGCTGACTGATCTGCCCTGATCGCCCACTCCTGCCATACTCTGGAAACCGTGTTTCTCAATCCTGCCCTCCTAGCCACACCTGTCTCTGTCTTTCTCTTGCCTCTTGGAGTCAGTTCTGCCAGATGCTCCCAGAAGACAGTGGCTGCCCAGGGACCATGCACACCATGGTTTGCACTTTCTAAGCACGTGGTGTCGGAGTTTCTGTTCAGATGTATGTGAGCTTAGGTACTGTGTGTGCTTACACAGGACTCCTGTCACCAGCTCCCTCCGAGTCTCGGGGGCCATGCTGGGACCCTGTGTACTTGGTCAGAGAACCTGAATGAATTACAAGGAGAACAGGTGGCAGAAAGTCAGGAGCCAGTGATGGAGTTGCCATGGTGGGAAGTGATCTCCCTGTGTCCCAGCCCCGACCTTCAGGCGGGCTCCTGAGTGTCTTGGAGCTGGGGGAGAGGTTGAGTGTGAGTCCTTTCTCATCCCCATGCCTCACTCGTGTTTCTCTTCCACAGACAGTCACTCCCTCTGCTATGTCATAACTGTCAATCCCAAGGCTGGACCCAGACAGCAACGGTGTGATGTTCAAGGTCACGTGGATGACAGGAGGATTCTGCACTATGACTGCAGCTTCACTAAGATCAGCTTTTTTGACCCCCTTGGGAGGGAAGTGGATGCCATTGACAACTGGGCAGAGCAGACAGATATGCTGCGAGATGTGGTGGACGCCCTCAACCAGCAAGTGGCTGAAATGAAACATTCCACAAGCAAGGGTGAGCCTGAAAGACCCTGGGCAGAGGACAGGTATTGTGAACCAGGACTGAGGATTTCCATGTGCAGAACTGGTCGCTGCTCTTCATTTGGAGGCCCAATGGCAGGGCGGGAGAGGTGGGACATCAGGGCCAGGCGATGCAAAGTCGACGGGAATGCAGGATCCCAGGTGGGGCAAAGGGTCTGTTAAGCCAAATCTGGGCATGGGGAGTTCCTTATGTTTCTGTGAAGTTGCAAGTTGGCCCCACGCAAGTGCTCCAGGAGAAATTGCAGGATGCAGAGGACAGAGCAGGGCCAGGAGATACCAGAGAAACGGATGGGAGAAGTGGATTCAAGGTGGGGCAAAGGATCTGTCAAGACTGATCTCTGACAATGTCTTTCCAATGGGACAGATCCCCTGAGCCTGCAGGGCAGGATGTGCTGCTGGCGTGGAGCCAGTGGTGGCACACACGGGTCCTGGCAGTTCAGCTTCGGTGGACAGATCGGCCTCCTCTTTGACCCGGACGCCAGAATGTGGACAGAGGTTCATCCTGGGGCCAGCTGGTTGAAGACGACCTGGGAGAATGACAGGCAGCTGACTGAGTTCTTGCGGAAGGTGTCCGTGGGAGACTGCACAAGGTGGCTGGGGAACTTCTTGTTGCCCAGGGAGGAGATGCTGGAGTCTACAGGTAACGAGGGCCAGGGGGGGCGGGAAGGGGTTTTCCCTGGAGATGAGGTGAAGCCACCCCAGTGCATGCATGCACGGTGTGGGTGCACTGTGCATGTGAGTGTGCTGTACTTTGGTTTGTGTGTATGCGAGGGTATGGGTGTGTGTGCATATAAGGGAGTGGATGCTGGTGGGTGTGGCGTGGGAATGTGGGTGTGCATGTATGAGAGTGTGGGTGTGACAGTGTATGTGTGCTGAGTGAGCCTATGCGTGTCCTTTGCTGTTTGTGTGCATGTTAGGGTGCTGTGTGCATGTGTGTGTGATGCTGTGTGTCTAAGAAAGCAATCCAATATGTGTCCTCACATCCGGAGCTGTGCCTGTCCTCACGCCTCTCCTCCTCCTCCTGCTCATCTCTTCCTCAGCGTGTATTTCAGTCCCCTCACCCGCCCCCTGCTGGCCTCCACCCCGTGGACATCACTGTTTCTAGCCCTTCTTCGCAGTCCCCTCTTCTTAGATTCGCTTTTCTCCCGTTTCCTCCGCTCTCTCCCTTGGTTCCTTCAGAACCATCTCCAGGTCCAGCTCCTGCCTCCCTTCCTGGTGCCACCCCGAGCCTCTCCCATCTTGGCCCCCCAGGAGGGATGGTCTGCATGGTCACCCCGACTTCCTCTCTGGCAGATCTTTCCCATCCTCCCTCCCTGCTACCCCAGGACCTGTCCCAGCAGTTCACAGTATGGTTGCCAGCTGTGTGCACAGCTGCCTTTCCCAGGAGCAGGAGCTGGAAGGCCTCCCTGGGGTTTGGGTTCTGGACAGGGCCTCCAGTGTTCTGCTTCCATTTCAGCACGGCCACCCACAACCTCAGGACCAGTCCCATTCAAGGCCACGGCCACCATACCCATGCCCTTGGCCTTTCTCCTGCTCCTCACCAGCTCAGTCCTCCTTGTCATGCAAGGGGAGCCATTCTGAGTGACAGGTATGGAGGGCAGCATTGGGAGGGGAGCAGAGGGCAGATGGGATTGGGTGGGACGATGGCAGAGGGAATTCCCAAGTCCAGCCCTGCCCCCTGGACTGCACTGTCTCATTCTGGAAGTGAGACAGGAAAATCAGTCCTCATGTCCCTCAGTAGCATTAACTGGGACCAGCTCAGCCCTGAGTTCTAAGAAATTCTCCCTGTCAGGAGCCAGCCTGGTGGAGGGAGAGGGAGAGGGAGGGGCCCTTTCCTACACCGGGTTCAGCAGCTGGTTCATGGCCTGTGGGTTGAAGAAGGCTTAGCCAGCTCAGGATTTTGTAGCGCAGATTCAGGGCCCAGTCACGGGAGACTGGGACACAGGAACACAGGCATAGGGTTTGTGGGCAGCAAGCAGCATGGACGCTCACTTGAGGAGTCGTTGTCAGAGATCCCACCCTCCAAGCAAAGAGGAGGCTGAGCCCATCCCAGGATGAGGGGTGGGAAGGCCTTTGGGAACCAATTCCTAATGCAGAGGGCAGGGCGTTCCTGTTACCAGAGAACCTGTCCAAGGTCTTGGTCCCCCTGCAGGAAGAGAACTCTGGAATGCTCCAAGGTTAAAATTAACTAGCAAGGTCTGTTGTAAGCAAAGTCCACTCTCAGGGCAGGAGAGCGGGCGGGCAGGTGTACAGCATCTGTGCTGAGAATCTGAGGAAGATTCCTTCTTTATTGCATCTGATGGGGTGGGGAATTGAGAATTCCTGAGACGGGAGGAGGACTCTAGGAGTAGCTGGGGCTGTCCTGGAGCAGGGCATCACCTGTCTTTTCTCTAACCAGGGCCTCTCTCATCTGTGATGCTGGAATCACAACCACAGTGACCACACGGCTGACATGACGCTGCCTATCTGGGACATTCACCACTGGGTGCCTTTGGAGTTGTTGGGCCGTGGAAAGTGCTTGCAGCCCTCTTGGGCCTCTGGGGTCTACTCACGTCGAGCTGTGTGCATTGAGAGCTCCCCTACCCAGGGACTCTGGCCCCTTCCTTCTCTACTGGGAAACAGGACGAGCCTGTCTCTGTCGCTCCCCCTCTTCGTGGAGGAACGACACAGGACCCTGCGCTGTTCTTTTTTCTGCTCGGCCCTCCCCGGGTTTGCTGCTGGTTCTTCCCGGGTTGGCTACTATCCCTTCCACCTCCGTGGAAGGGCAGTTCCCCCTGGCCGCATTCCCCACTTCCGCAGGGGAGCGGCACACCGCCGGCCGGCTTTCTCGGGGGCTGCACGGGTTCCCTTAGATGTTCCCCATAGATGTTCCTGGTGCATGCCGTCTCTCTCCTCCTTTATAGTCCTCCTCCGCCAATCCCAACTCGGCTGCCCACACGCCGAGTACGCTGCTCTCCAATCAGGAGCAAGTCCTACAGTTAATTGGTTGAACTGGAGGCAGCTGTGCGGAAGCTGTTTACTTCTCTCCCAGCGCCATATTGTGGGAGAGCAGATGCATAGAATAAGTCTTAATTCCAGTAACTCAGTCTAGTCCGGTTGCTCCCCACAGATCCCCCTTTCTTTTTATTTTTTGGCATTGATACGCGCCTGTCTTCGGTGTCCCGCGGCACACACTCTGCTCTACTTGCTAGAGTTGCCACAGGCTCTTACAAGTCCTATCAATCAGGCAAACCGAATCCGGGTCCTCTCTTCGCCATGTTGTGAGGAGGTTTTTAGGCGCTGATGCGTGCCTGTGTTCGGTGCCCTGCAGCGCATGCTCTGGTCGAGCCTGCAGGGGCTTACAAGCCCTATCAGGCAAACCGAATCCAAGCCTTCTCTTTGCCTTTTTGTGGGGAGGCCTTACTGATGTTAATTCGTGCCTGTCTTCGGTGACCTGCGGCGCATAAGCTGCTAGCCGCCCAGGTGCTCATCGCCTCACTAATCGGGCAGACCGAATCCAAGCCTTCTAATTGTTGTATTGTAGGGAGGCCTTTCTATTTCTCTATTTCTCTATCTCCGGGCATTCCTATTTCTCCCATTTTACTTCTGTCTGCCAACATTCCCATTTCTCTCACTCCACTTCCAAACTTCTGTTTCTCTTATCCCTGCGGCTTCCCGCCGGCGCTCGCCCCGAGGCTGCTTCTCGGCTCTGCGCGGCTTCCCGGCGCCTCACCCCGCCGGCGGGTTCCTGGCTCTGCGCGGCTTCCCGGCGCCTCGCCCCGCCGGCGGGTTCCCGGCTCTGCGCGCACGCTCCGCGGTCTCCACGCACTTCGCGCCCGCACCACGGCCTCGCGCCAGCCCTGCGTTCCCTATCTATTCACGCCCCGTGCTCTCTCTGCACGCGGCGGCTTCCGCGAGTAACACAGCGTAGCTTACGTGTCCGCCACTAGCATTCAATCTAAGTTCCCCGGGCTAGCCTGGCGAATTCAACCCAGCGTACGTCTCCGCCCCACGGTTTGGCTTCCCGTCCTTTGCTCCCCGGGCTAATCAGACGGATCCCAACCAGGCTCACGTTTCAGCTTCTAGTTTCAACTTTTCGCCCCCTATTCCCGGGCTAACTTGAGAATCCCAAAGTGGCTTTCGTATCCGCCTCGGCCTGCCCCCCGCGGCTTCAATTTCCCTAACATTTTTCTCTACCCGGTATGTTTCCCCAAACTTTCCTCCAACGATATTCCTCCCTCATTTCTCCTGGCCTCTCCCCACAGTCCGCGTCCGAGTCTGTTTGTTCTAGCTTTCACTTTCGCTTTCGACCTTAGAGATTTCTCCCAGCTTCCCCCCGTAGTCCGTATCCGAGTCTATGCCTAGGCTTTCAATAGCTTCTTCCGGCTCCTTTTTCGTCCGGCTTTTCCCTAGGCTGTTTGCTAGTCTCTCCCTCCGATATTTTCCCTAGGCTGTTTGCTAGTTTCTCTCTCCGATATTTTCCCTAGTTCTTCCCGTTTCTTCCCTCCTAAGTTTCATATCCGTCCTAGGTTTCCTATCCGAGTCACGGCACCATTATGTCGCTCCCCCTCTTTGTGGAGGAGCAACACTGAACCCTGCGCTGTTCTTTTCGTCTGCTCGGCCCTCCCCGGGTTTGCTGCTGGTTCTTCCCGGGTTGGCTACTATCCCTTCCACCTCCGTGGAAGGGCAGTTCCCCCTGGCCGCATTCCCCACTTCCGCAGGGGAGCGGCACACCGCCGGCCGGCTTTCTCGGGGGCTGCACGGGTTCCCTTAGATGTTCCCCATAGATGTTCCTGGTGCATGCCGTCTCTCTCCTCCTTTATAGTCCTCCTCCGCCAATCCCAACTCGGCTGCCCACACGCCGAGTACGCTGCTCTCCAATCAGGAGCAAGTCCTACAGTTAATTGGTTGAACTGGAGGCAGCTGTGCGGAAGCTGTTTACTTCTCTCCCAGCGCCATATTGTGGGAGAGCAGATGCATAGAATAAGTCTTAATTCCAGTAACTCAGTCTAGTCCGGTTGCTCCCCACATGTCTCCTGTGACCTCATCAGGCTGAGGAAGGATGTAGGCCCTGCCTAGCCCAGGAGCCCAGATTCCGTGCTGAGTGGCCCAGAGTCCTATGTGGAAGCGTTCCTTTGAGGGAATAGGGAAGACCTGGGAGACTTGGTCAAAGTGTCATTTTTATTTATTTATTTATTTTTAGCTTTTTTTCAATTGACACCTGGAAGAGCCCAGTTTAACATCCAAGTTATAAAGAGAAACACGGAATATAAGAAGGAGAGTGACTGCAAGCAGTCGTGCCAGTGAGAGTTTAGATCAGCCTGCAAGACACTACCTGTGCACTCCTTCTCGTGTTACATTTCTTTACCATTTTGTTTTTATGTATTGATTACATATTTTCACCTGTCATGAGCCGTTAACCCAAGTTCAGAGAGTGCGGGCTACTCCAGCCCTGCAGGCCGGGCGTTCCAGCTGCTCCAGCGAAGCCCAAAGCCCAGAATGGGCGCCCTAGATGATGCATGCATGGGGTTAGAGGTGGGGTAAGGCAGTCAAGGTGGAATCCAAACCCCAGACCCCTCTACGGTTGCTGCTGGCACAGTGAGGGCACAAGAGAGTCTGGATCCCAAACATCAAAATGTTTGACCTGATTGAAGATTTGTTTCATAAATACTGTGTGCCTTATTTATGTGCTAGTGGCGCTGAACTCATGCTCTTCACCATAGAGACAGCAGTGGGTGGCAGCGGGTGCTCAATGGACACCTCTCAGCCAGCAAGGGGGAAAGGGGAGCCCAAGGTGTGCTGCACCCCACACCCCAGAGTGGGGTTTTAACAAGGCCAGGAACCCAGGATGCCTGGTGCCTGCCTCCCTGCAGCCCGCCCACCTGTTCTTCCTCTGTCTGTCCTCCTTCTCCTTCTCCCTACCCTCCCTCCACCTTTCCTTCTCTAGGAAGAGCAAGACACACACACACACACACACACACAGAGCAAGCAACAGAGAGAGAGACAGGGAGAGGGAGAGAGAGAGAGAGCGAGCGAGCCCGTTCAGGCGTGTAGGTGCTGGACTCTGACTCACTCTTGGCAACCAAGAGACTCACTCTTGGCAACTGGCTGTGCAGCTCTGCGCCCTTTTTTTTTTTTTTTTTCAGGCAGAGTTATAGACAGAGAGAGAGACAGAGAGAAAGGTCTTCCTTCTGTTGCTTCACTCCCCAAATGGCCACCATGGCCGGCGCTAGGTGCTTCCTGGCCTCTCATGCGAGTGCAGAGGCCCAAGCACTTATGCAATCCTCTACTGTCTTCCCGGGCCACAGCAGAGAGCTGGACTGGAAGAGGAGCAACCAGGACAGAATCCAGCGACCCAACTGGGACTAGAACCCAGGCTGCTCATGCCGCAGGCGGAGGATTAGCCTTGTGAGCTGCAGCACCAGCCCTCCGCACCCTTTTAAAACCGATGCCCTTTTAGCTCCTAGCGCTCAGGGCGGGACAGGGCAGGCCGAGCTGTCCTTCAAAATGATTCGGAGGTGGGGGTGAGCTTCTCACTGGCTGTCCCTCCGATTACTGGAAAAAAAAAAAAAAAGGCACCAGAAATCTCACACACATTTAACTAAAACAGCAAACCTCAAGAAGGAGAAAACAATTCCAACAATAGCGCTAGTTTTCCTTGGGGAAGACGGGTATCAGTGCCCCTGTCAGCGCCCTTGCAGACTAAGCCTTAGAGGCAGCGGCAAAGATTAATCTATAACCTAGCTGCCTTGGAGCCACTCTCACCCCAGCCTTCCTTAACCAATAAACCCGGGTACCTACACAATTCCTGTACTTAAATACCCAGTGAGCTCTGAACTGACTCAGTACTCTGCAATGGAGCTGCTGCCCGGGCACCCCTTCACTTTTCTGTAGCTTCTGCTTCTGCGTCTGCTGGCAGCTGGGCTCTGGGCGCCGCTGGCCGGTGAGTGCGTTCAGGGCAGGGCACAGGGCAGGGAGAGAGGGTGGGGACCTCCTCGCAGGCCTGCGCTTCCCTGAGGCGGCTTCTCCTGGAGTCCAAGGAAGAGGATGGGATGGAGCAGTGGGAACTGCTGGTGCCCTACCCCCCATCCTGCCGACAGTAGGCACAGAGCCAGGGGGCACGCAAATGAGTGCGAACCTTGCACGGAGGCGTCCCCGCTCGACACCCACAAACTCCCACTCCAACCCACCAGCGTCCACTTGCTGCCAGCCACTGACAACTGGGCAGAGCAGACAGAAATGCTGCGAGATGTGGTGGACGCCCTCAACCAGCAAGTGGCCGAAATGAAACATTCCACAAGCAAGGGTGAGCCTGAAAGTCCCTGGGCAGAGGGCAGGGTTTGTGAACCAGGACTGAGGATTTCCACGTGCAGAACTGGACAATGCGCTTCCTTTGGAGGCCCAGCGACAAGGTGGAGAGGTAGGAAATCAGGACCAGGCGATGTTAAAGGGGACGGGAATGCAGGATCCCAGGTGGGGCAGAGGGTCTGTCAAGACTGATCTGGGCACAGGGACTTCCTTATGTTTCTGTGAAGTTGCAAGTTGGCCCCACTCAAGTGCCCCAGGAGGAAGTGCAGGATGCAGAGGACAGAGCAGGGCCAGGAGATACCAGAGGGACGGATGGGAGAAGTGGATCCCAGGTGGGTCAGGGGATCAGTCAAGACTGATCTCTGACAATGTCTTTCCAATGGGGGCAGATCCCCTGAGCCTGCAGGGCAGGATGTGCTGTTGGCGTGGAGCCAGTGGCGGCAGGCACAGGTCCTGGCAGTTCAGCTTTGATGGACAGATCGGCCTCCTCTTTGACCCGGACGCCAGAAAGTGGACAGAGGTTCATCCTGGGGCCAGCTGGTTGAAGACCACCTGGGAGAATGACAGGCAGCTGACTGAGTTCTTGCGGAAGGTGTCCGTGGGAGACTGCACAAGGTGGCTGGGGAACTTCTTGTTGCCCAGGGAGGAGATGCTGGAGTCTACAGGTAACGAGGGCCAGGGGTGGCGGGAAGGGGTTTTCCCTGGAGATGAGGTGAAGCCACCCCAGTGTGTGCGTGCAAGGTGTGGGTGCTGTGTGCATGTGAGTGTGCTGTACCCGGGTGTGTGTGCATGCCAGGATATGGGTGTGTGTGCATGTAAGGGTGTGGATGCTGGTGCGTGTGAAGTGGGAATGTGAGTGTGTATGAATGAGAGTGTGTGTGTGACAGTACATGTGTTCTGTGTGAGCCTGTGAGTCCTGTGCTTTGTGGGTGCATGGTAGGGTGCTGTGTGCAGGTGTGTGTGAGCCTGTGTGTCTGAGTTCACAATCCAGTGTGATGTGTCCTCCCAATGACAACCGCAGCATCACCTCTGTGCCTGTCCTCACACCTCTCCTGCTCTTCCTGCTCATCTCTCCCACACGGCGTGGATTTCAGTTCCCTGACGCGCCCTCCTGCTGGCCTCCACCCCGTGGACATCACTGTTTCTAGACCTTCTCCCTCGCCTTCCCCTCTTCCTAGAATCCCGGTTCTCCCTTTTCCTCTGCTGTCTCTCTGGGGTCCTTCAGAACCATCTCCAGGTCCAGCTCCTGCCTCCCTTCTAGCCACCACCCCCAGCCTCTCCCATCTTGGCCTCCCAGGAGGGACGGTCTGCATGGTCACCCTGGCTTCCTCCCTGCTATTCCAGGACCTGTCACAGCAGTTCACAGTACGGGTGCCAGCTGTCTGTATGGTTGCTTTTCCCAGGAGCAGGAGCTGGAAGGCCTCCCTGGGGTTTGGGTTCTGGACAGGGCCTCCAGTGTTCTGCTTCCATTTCAGCACGGCCACCCACAACCTCAGGACCAGTCCCATCCAAGGCCACGGCCACCATGCCCATGCCCTTGGCCTTTCTCCTGCTCCTCACCAGCTCAGTCCTCCTTGTCATGCAAGGGGAGCCATTCTGAGTGACAGGTATGGAGGGCAGCATTGGGAGGGAAGCAGAGGGCAGATGGGATTGGGTGGGATGATGGCAGAGGGAATTCCCTGAGTCCAGCCCTGCCCCCTGGACTGCACTGTCTCATTCTGGAAATGAGACAGGAAAATCAGTCCTCATGTCCCTCAGTAGCATTAACTTGGACCAGCTCAGCCCTGAGTTCTAAGAAATTCTCCCTGTCACGAGCCAGCCTGGTGGAGGGAGAGGGAGAGGGAGGGGCCCTTTCCTACACCAGGTTCAGCAGCTGATTCATGGCCTGTGGGTTGAAGAAGGCTTAGCCAGCTCAGGATTGTGTAGCGCAGATTCAGGGCCCAGTCACGGGAGACTGGGGCACAGGAACACAGGCACATGGTTTGTGGGAAGCAAGCTGTATGTACGCTCCACTTGAGGAATCATTGTCAGAGTGGGCAGCAGCGGGTGCTCCATGGACACCTCTCGCTCAGCAAGAGGGAAAAGGGAGCCTGAGCTGTGCTGCAGCCACACCTCGGAGTGGGTTTTAACAAGCACCAGGAATGCAGGACACCTGCCTGCCTGCCTGCCTCCCTGAAGACGGCCACCTGTTCTTCATCTGTCTGTCCTCCTTCCCTCCTCCTGCTCCTTCTCCTTCTCCTCACCCTCCCTCCACCTTTCCTTCTGTAGGCAGAGCAACACACACACACACACACAGGGAAAGAGGGAGAGAGAGAGAGAGAGAGAGTGAGAAGGAGGGAGAGAGAGAGGAGAGCGTTCTCACCTGCAGTGTTCCGGACCCTGCAGGTGCTGGACTCTTTCTGGCTCTTGGATGGCACAAAGCATCCCAAGGAACAACTCCATCCAATGCTCCCTGTGCAGCCTCTGCGCTTTTAGCTCAGAGCGCTCAGGGCAGGACAGGGAAGGCCCATTCTCCTTCAAAACGATTGGAGGGAGGCAAGTTTCTCACTTGCTGCCCCTCCGATTACTGAAAAAAAAGAGAGAGAGAGAAACAAGAGAAATCCACACACATTTAACTAAAGCAGCAGCTTCTACAGGGAGAAACATTTCCAACAATAGCCACTAGAGTTTCCCTGTGGAGGATGGGTGTCAGCGCCCCTGCAGGCAGCCCTGGTAAGTGCAGCCACAAAGCCAGCACGGGTAACTGCAGACAAGATTCAGGGGGCTACCTCAGAGCTGCTCTCACTCCACCCTTATTTCGAGGGCACAGGGCCAGCAGCCAGTGGCGCGAAGAAGTCCTTGTAACTGTATGTAAATGAGTTGGCTGTCCTTAAATACGCAGTCAGTGCTGAACTCACTCACTCCAGGATGGAGCTGCTAGCCCTGCGCTGCTTCACATCCCTGCTGCTTCTGCTCCTGCCTCTGCTGGCAGCCGGGCTCCGGGCACTGCTGGCCGGTGAGTGCTTTCAGGGCAGGGGAACAGGGCCTGGGAGAGAGGGTGGGGACCTCCTCTCAGGCCTGTGGCTACCCTGAGGCCGCTTCTCCTAGAGGTCACAGGAGGAGGATGGGAGGGGGTGGTGGAAACTGATGGTCCCCAGGGCCGTCCTGGGGTCACTGAGCCAGGGGGCGTGAATGAGTGCGGACCCTGCAGGAAGGCCATCCCCCAACTCCGCTCTGCAACCACAACTCCCCCTCCAACCACCAGCGTCCACTTGCTGCCAGCCACCACCCACTATCCACCACCGCTCACAGCCTCGTCAGGCCACATTGCTCCTGAGTTGATGAGTTCTGTGAGCCCCGGGGCCATCTCAGCACGGGACCAGGAACACGGGGATTCCCTGCCAGTCTGCCTTTCTCATCCGGCCTGTTCTGCCCTGAGTCGCTTAGTCACTGGAAGCCTGTAGACTAGTTTGCCACAGGACCAGGATCCCCGGGCTTCGGGTCCAATCTGTCCCTTTCTCATCTGGCAGGTCCTGACTTTTCCCCTACCTGATGGCATCATTCCGCTGCCAGAGGTCACCCCAGGCAGGCACACCCAGACCTCAGCCCAGTGCCTGAATTTGAAGGGATGGGGCCACCATCCCCCCACCACCACCCTGGGTTCAGGCACCTTGTCCTGCACTTCCCCTCGCTGTTGGGAGGCAGCATTATAGGTGACGAGCCTTGTTTTCACAGGAGCTGGCCAACTTGTGTGCACACTGAAATGGGTAGACGTCCCTTGTGTAGTGGGTGTGGCCTTGCCTGTCCACACTGGAGGCCCAGGCTAGGATCTCCAGGTAGGAATTGCCCTACACGGCCCCTTTCCCAGCACAGAACTCTGTCAGTGGAGAATGGGGCAAATACAACCGCGTTCATTCATTCATTCATTCACATCTTCAACCAATTTGTGGAGAGATGGGATGAAAAGGTGTCTAATTGGGCGCAGAAAACGTTTTGAAACCTGTGCACACAGAGTCCCTGTTTTCCTGGGAACATGTACTTTCTGTGAGCACCTTGAAGACCCACGTGTTGTCTGAGGTTCCTGTGGTGCTGGAAGCTCAGAGCGGGGTGGTTGCAGCTGATGCTACATGGCCTGCAAGCCCTTAGCTGGTTACTAGATATCCTCTCAGAGGGAATTCTGGGAGTCAGCCTGGTATTCACCCAGTGTTCACCTGCTTCACCACCTGTCCAGCAGACTCAGCTACCTTACAGGGTGGTCTCACCCATAATCTGTGTTAAGTTCCTGCAGGAGGAGTTTCTTCCACACGCAGGGGAGGATGACTCACACCCTGTGCTTGCAGGGCTGCTGCTCAAACAGCTCCCAGCAGCTGAGAGGCCTCCCTTAAGGGAGGAATGTGAGCTGGCAGATGTCAAGGTCTTGCCCAACCCCTCCTGACAGGCTTCCTGTGATCTCCAGCCATGGGAGCCTACCATGACTGTGAACTAAACAGACCTGCTGCTCTCCACCCTCAAGAGGCCCCTCTGTGGCCCAGGGTCCCTCTCCAACACCCTCCCTGCTCACTTCCTACCTAACCTAGAGCCAGTACCTCTGGAGGAGTTAAGAAGACGCCTGCCTTTCACAGGGCGCCCACCATGAGTTCCTCACAGGCGAGGGGCACGGGTGGCTCCAGCTCAGGAAACTGAAGTTCTGGGCTTGAGTTCTGTGTTTTACCCAGGACCGGCGTCCATGGGATGTACGTGGAGATCTGCGGTTTCTGGTTTGGACGTTGGTGTCCTCGTGTGCTCACTCCCCGAGTTACCTAGACTTTCCTTCACCCAGAGGCGTGCAATGAGAGCCGTTGCTGTTTCCCGCGGCCTGCCTCTCGGGAAACCTTGTTCTCAGTCCTGCCCTCCTAGGCACACCTGTCTCTGTCTTTCTCTTGCCTCTTGGAGTCAGTTCTGCCAGATGCTCCCAGAAGACAGTGGCTGCCCAGGGACCATGCACACCAGGGTTTGCACTTCCTAAGCACGTGGTGTCGGAGTTTCTGCTCAGATGCATGTGAGCTTAGGTACTGTGTGTGCTTACACAGGACTCCTGTCACCAGCTCCCTCTGAGTCTCGGGGGCCATGTGAGGACCCTGTATACTTGGTCAGAGAACCTGAATGAATTACAAGGAGCACAGGTGGGAGAAAGTCAGGAGCCAGTGATGGAGTTGCCATGGCAGGAATTGATTTCCCTGCGTCCCAGCCCCGCCCTTCAGGTGGGCTCCTGAGTGTCTTGGAGCTGGGGGAGAGGTTGAGTGTGAGTCCTTTCTCATCCCCACGCCTCACTCGTGTTTCTCTTCCACAGACAGTCACTCCCTCTGCTACAACATAACTGTCAATCCCAAGGCCAGACATGGACAGCAACGCTGTGATGTT